GTGGCCTCTCCCAATCTAAACTGGGAGCCCTCTCCTCTGGTGCGCGGTGCCGGCATTGCCCTGCCCATTACTTTATCCTGCCTGCGATTTCCTCTGTGTTTGTGTCTTTTCCTTGTTTTGGTGAAACATTTTCTCAAAACGTCTGTGTTTTTAAGTCTTGAATGTCTAAGGACACCTTTATTTAATGCTCACACTTGATACATTTTTAATCTTCACACTTGATAGATTCTAGGGTTGAGTATAGAAATCGAGGCTGAAAATTATTTTCCCACAGAATTTTAAGGAATTGCTATGTTCTTTCTGAGCATCCAGTGTTGCTGCTAGGAAGTCCAAAGCCACTTGATATATGACCTTTCCCCCTGTGGGAAGCCTACAGAGATCTTTCTGTCTCCACTGGTCTCAGCTTTCACAGTGACGTGCCTTGAATTGCTCGCTTGGTCATTTTCTCTCTCTTCTATTCTCTCCCCTTGGAGCATGTATTTTCTGACATTGAACTTCTTGGTCTGCTTCTATGATTTTCTCATCTATCATGCCACGGCTCTCACTTCTCTGAGGGGTGGGAAGTGTGCATGTGTGTATATGTGTGTAGGTATAGATACACCTAGTAGTGGAATTACTGGGTCAGCCATTTCAACTGATAGCAATCCTATAGGACATGGTAGAGCTGCTCCTGAGGGTTTGAGATTGTAAATCTACAAATAGAAAGCCTGGTCTTTCTCCCAAGGAGCAGCTGGTGATTTTGAACTGCTGACCTTGGGGGTTAGCAGCCCAGTGTGTAACCAAGGCTCCTCTTGCTGAGTCATAGAAATGTTTATCTCCAACTGTTTAAAGAGGCACCATACATACGATTTTCCATAGTGACTCTACCATTTTCAACCCTGCCAACTGTGTATGAGAGATCCAATCTCTCCACATCCAGCATTTATTTGTTAGTTTTTTTTTAACTTAAGTATTTATTCTGGTGTGAGATGATACCTCCTTGTTTTGATTTATGCCTCTCTAAACCTAATGAAGGAGCTCTCGTGGGGCAGTGTGCTATAAACATTAGGCTGATAACTACAAGGTCAGCAGTTCAAACCCACCAACCACCCCTCAGGAGAAAGATGAGGCTGTCTGATCATAAGAAGTGACAGTCCTAGAAACCTGGAGAGCAGTTCCACCCTGTCCGTAGAGTCACTGTGTATCCGAGTTGACTTGACATCAGTGCGTTTGGTCCTTTCCTCATATTTTAAGTTTCCTTGTTGCTCAGTTTTCTAAAAAATGCCCCCAAATACATCTCATCTTTGTCTGTATGCAATTGTATTTTATTTCCAAAGGTTTGCTATTTTCTCTGAATGTTCTTTCATTACATAATCCTATTCTCGCATTGTGGTTATACTTTAACGTTCTGTGGATATTAAAAATAGTAATTAAAGTTGTATTTATTTATTGCTTGACTTCTTCCTGTGTACCCTGTGTCTTTATCATTGATTGGTTTTGATCTCTTATTCATGATAGAGGCTCACCACTAATATAAGTGTCTGCTGAACCTTAAGATAGACAGCTACAGAGCTGACTGCAGCTCAGCATGTGAGTGCCCTTACTGACTAGGTGTCACTGTAGAGAAACTTTAAGTCGTGGCCCTACTGACACTGGGTGGCAGTCAGCTAGCTGTAGGAAGTAGAGAGGGAATCGGAAAATTTGCTGCTTAAATTGGCTTTCTAGCAACCCTCCTTGTTTTAGCCAGACACCCCAACTCGGGTTTTAGCCAGATGCCCACCTGCTACCATTGAGTCACTTCCAACTCAGTGAGACTGTCCGTCTTCACGGGATCAGAGAGCTGTGTCATTCTCCCACAAGGGATGGGTGGGCTTGAGCTGCTGGCCTTGAGGTTGGCAGCCCAGTGTTTAATCTGAGGCACCACCAGGGATCCTTAGATGGCCATAGTTGCCACCAATTTGGGGGTCTTTGGGGAATGGTATAAGTTGGTGTCCTCTTCCACCTTCTACACTCTAGGTTCCAAAATTTGTTCTCGTCATTTCTTCCTATTATTCCTATCTTGTGAATGTATTCCTTGAGAGGGGGGAGGAGAGAGAGTGTCTCCATCCCTCTGGACATTTTAGTGCAGTTTTAGGAGGGAAAAAGAGTAAATGCTGTTATTAATCTTCCATCCCTACCTGAAAGCCTTTTTTTATGATCTTTTATTACAAGTATTTACACATATGGATATGTAATTTTTATGTGGTTATAATTCTCCCCCCCCCCTTTTTTTTTCTTGTGGCTATAATTCTAAGGTAGATACAGCTTTTTAGAATTTTCTTTTTACAAACCTATAAAATTGGTGAATTCATGGTTGAATTAATATACTTATTATTTAATCATTCCATCTTACTACTAGTTCTTCCTAGGAAGTCCTTGCTATTTACTAGTTGTGTTTTATGAACTGTATGCTGTACGTTGACTGTCTTAAACTTTAAACCTTTGTCATTTTTGCTAAGATTTATTCATTTTTTAACTGTTACTGATTTTTGTTTTAACATTTTCTATAATAGTGTTTATCTTTTCCTTTGTAATTTCTGTTGCTTCACTTATCAGTACATTTTCTCTCATCGATAGTAAGTATGAGTATACTTTTTTTAATTGAGATATTTTGTTTTAATAGTTAATACTTTAATTTGCGTGAGAATTATTGTGATTTGTGTATGAGAGTTTGACAGAAGTTAAATTTTCTCCATTTTCAATATCCAGATACGGCCAGACAGAATGTACTAAATGACTCATTACATGCTTAACTTTTTAAATTTTGTTTTTCTACTACCAACTGCTCTGAAAGGGAGGGGTCGCATTAGGAGGTCCTGGAGAGAGTGGGAGAGGAATGCAGAACAGAACTCATTATAGAGACCAGGCTTACTGGTGGGAAAGAGACTGATGTGACCCTTTAGGTCTAGAATTGAACTCACCCCTGTGGTAAAAGAAAGGAGCAAAAGAGTAGTATTTACCAAGAGCAAAGCAAATGGGATAGGAAAGGAAACCGGAAACGCGGGAAGAAAAAGTGGTATGCGGTGTTCCATTGAGGGGTTGCAGTAGCTGACACACAGTGGTCTGAAGAGGTGAATGTGAAACTGATGACCAGCTCGATAAACCTCCACCTAACTCACACACAAAATTCAATACAATAAATAAAAAACAGTGCTATTTTTCTGCTATAAAAATTTTTGTTTTTATGTTTTACCTATATTTTTGGTCGCTATTAATCTTTCTGTTTTTGACTCAGAACTCCCTTTTGACTATTGTTTTTGGTTTTTACTATCATGCATCTTAATGTGTAATAAGAGTAAAGTGATCTTTTTCTTTTTTAAGGCTTATTAGTATTTTTGCCCATTGTATTTTTCTAAATAATTTTTAGCCCATTTCATAATATTTTATGACCTAGTCTGTTGTTTCCCAAAAATGGGCAACACCGCCCCCTGGGGGCGCTGGAACCATCCAGGGGAGCTGCGCACGCACAAACTCAGACTTTTTCTTTCCAGGTCAGCGGGCTGAGGTACAAAAGCTTTTCATTGCCAGGGAAGGTACTGAGCAATTTTTTTCCTGGAAAGAAGGTAGTAGTTTGGGAACTTAAGATGTATTCTATTACTGCTCTTACTGAAATGCTGTTGAAATTGTAACTTAACTCAAGAAGCATAACCATTTTTATTACGTGTAATAATAGTTTCAACTAGGTGTGTAATGTTTCTGTGTTAGCCAGTCCTGTTTGTTTCCCCAGTGGAATGTTTTCTCCTTTGTATTTTGGAACGGAAAATCATGCTCTAGGAGTCAGACTATCTGGTTCAAGTGCAAACTCTGCATTGCTGATGTCTGCCTTCCAGCGTGTTAAAGGGTAGTAATAGTACTTCACAGTTTGTGTTTTGGTTTTCTTAATCATAACATTTTAAAAGGTGGAACATATGAAATTTCTTTTTGAATTATAAAATAAAGATAAAGATATAAGGTACCGTATATACTCGTGTATAAGCCAAGTTTTTCAGCTCAGCACATTTTTAATGCAGTTTTTGTGGTAAAATTAGGTGCCTCGGCTGATATTCGGGTCGGCCCATACTCGAGTGTATACGATATTTAAGTAATCAGAAAAACACTACAGACTTTGTAGCAGTAACTTGTATCCAACAACTCTTTTGTATCCACCAACACAGGTGCTTGCCATAATTGATTATTTGATTGACAATTTGGTAGAAAATTGTCTTTTGGAAAGAATTTTTATATTTTCCCTCACTAAATTTTAGTTATTTCTTGTATCATATTTTGATGATAGGACTATCTAGCACTACTGTGTTTCCTCAATTCTAACATGTTGACTTTAGTAAGGTACACCATTATTTCATGTCTGCTAAGAAAGAAAGAAAAACCAAAAATCCTGGCACTTCAACTGATACAGTACTGATAATAAGATCCATCCCAGTTTCAGAGATGTTAAGATGTACAACTTCAAAATGATGGCTTATTAAAGAGTTTTTGTTTTTTGTCCCCCCCCCCCAAATAAAACATTGATAAGGTCAAAATTCCTGTAGAGACTCGAGAACAGTAGGCTGAAGCCCCCGTGGGGAACCCATATACTTAAGTTGCGCTCTCCTGAAAGCTCACTAAAATAATAGTAGTGGAATTTTATAAGGCTTAGATCCACAAAAAAACAAGAGAA